GCTGTGCGTCCTTCACTGGACAAGCTTTATGGCTCCAGGCACTGAGCTGCGTGCCAGAAATGCGGCAGTGAGCACGACAGAGGATCTGCCCTCCTGAACTTCATTCCAGAGGGGAAGGGGGTGGGGGGTGGGGGTGGGGAGAGGGACCAGCATTTCAGGGAGGCTACAGGTGGGGAAAATGAGAAAGGGTGAGGGGATAGAGAGAGGCAGACAGACTACGGTGTGATGTGGGTTTAGAGAAGGCACTCGGGGACGGCCACAATTGAGTAGTGTCTCCACTGAAATGAGGCAGTGAGCCACGTGGGTGTCAGGAGGAAGAACGCTCCACGCTGGGTCCTGGGACGGGAACAGCTTGTGTGATTGAGGGACAGGAAGACCCTGTCACCCAAACGCAGTGAACAAGGGCGGCTTGGGAGAGCAGAAGACCAGACAGAAAGAAGCCAGATCAGCACAGGTCTCCTAGGCCCCAGAGAGACGTTTGTACTTGATTTTTAGAAGACTGGAAAGCCATTAGAAGTTCTTAAGCAGAGGTTCTGCCAGTACTGATTCCATTTTGAAAAGACTCTGGCTGCTGTGTGGATTCCCGATTGTGGCCGGGCAAGAATGCACGTGAGTATAACCTTGAAAAAAACACAGCCTCTCTCTGGGGTTCAGCTTCCGTAATATTAAAACAAGGAAACTGGTCTGAAGTGTCTCCAAGGCAGTGGTCCTCCACCGGGCAAGATCCCTCTCCCCACCCCCCAGGGAAATTTGCCAATATCTGGAGGCATTCTGATTCTCCAAACGAGGGGGCGCTACCAACATCTAGGAGGTAGAGGCCAGGGATCTGCTAAACCTTCCACAATGCACAGGGCAGTCCCCCAGAACCAAGAATTACCCGACCCAAAATGTCAACAGGGCCCAGTCTGGGAGACTGCTCTAAGGCCCTACTGGCTCAGACTTCTGTTATTCTGCTCCAGGACTAGGACCTTCCCTAGTATTTCCCCTCCCTAACGTACCCTGGCGCTGGCTCTCCCAGCGCCCCTGGTGTCAGGCTCCCAGAGCTCCCTCCGGGCTCAGTGCTGCCCTCTGCCGGAGCACCAGTGGACTTACCTCCTTCCCCACAGGAATGCCACTGCCCAGCCCTGCAGTCAGGGCCACAACCTTGGCCACAAAGGCCTTGAGGGTGAGATATTCCTTCAGGATGACCCCACGGAGTATTGTCTTCATCTCAGGGATCCCGGAGCCTAAAAGGTTCAAAGAGTGATTATGTGCCGCTTCCAGCTAGAGGTTAAAAGGGAGACAAACATCCAGACAGGCGGACGTGGTGATGGGCGTGGGTGGGGAGACGATGGCAAGACAGGGGAAAGGGCCGTCAGTCGGGTTGAGGGGCTGAGCGAGGGAGGAAGGGCACTGGAAGGGTCTACAGGCTAAAGAGATAACACTGATGACACAACAGGGGTAGGGTGGTGAGCGGATGGGGGGTGGGAGGTTCTCACCAACGGCCTGGGGAGAGATGAGGTGGCAAAAGAGGGCGCTGAAGAGGATGAGAGTTAGCGGGAAGGTGACCCAGACCAGGTACTGCAGAGGCAGGCTGGGCTGCATCTGGTAATAGGTCCACTTGTAGGCTGCAGAGACACGTGCCTGAGCTCAGTCCCAGCGTGGCGGGATGTCACCGCACCCCCATGGCGCAGCACATCACAGTGTGCAAGGAGCGTCCTCACGGCCTGGCCATCCCGTCTGACCTCACCACACGGTATTGTTCTCACTGGACACAAGGGAGCCCGAGTTGTGGGAGGTGCCGTGACCTGTCCAAGTTCCCACCACTTGTTGGAGGTAGAGTCCGCGAACCCCACTTCTGAGTGCTGGGACTGCAGGCTGCCCCAGTTTGCCCAGAACCTGGGGTGGGGGGAGGGTGCCTGGGACTCAGGGTGGTCAGTGCCCAAACCAGAAAAGCCCTGGGGAAATGGGGATGAGCTGGTCACCCTATTAGAGGGGCACCCACAGGTTGTATGGCAGCAGCTGAAGGGGCAGAAGTGCATCTGGGTCCGGGTCTGGTCTTCTCCTGGGCCAGACCTCCTCTGTGCAGCGCCCCCCCTCCCCCAAACACGCCCAGCTTATCCCAGGCAGGAACTCTAGAAACTCTAGGAACCGCTGTGCGAAGAGAGGCTGAGGGTAAAGGACCAGGTTAAACCTACCCTGAAGGCTTTTGGCACTGACATAATCCATGCTCCAGCTAACCAGAGCCATAAGCAGTCCCAGGAGCACCAGAAAGATCCAGTCTTCTCCTAATTTCCTTCTTACCACGTGTCCCAGGCGGCGCATACAGTCTGGGAAGAGGGAAAGACAAAAAGAGCGGCTAACCGGTCACTGCTCTGGGCTGTGACTGAGGACAGGAGCAGAGGAGCTGGGCCCCTGGGGTCTTGTCTATCTCTGCACCTCATTCACTGGGTTTGCCCATGGGATACCTGAGTTCTTCCTAACTCTCCTTTCCTGGGGGTGGCTGGGAGGGAGAGGAGGGAGCCAGGCAGGGTGAGAGGAGGCAGAGAGAGATGCCTTTCCCTACTGCTTGGAGGGGGGCTTGGGTGTGGGTGAGGGGAGGGCGGAGAGTGAGCTACAGGCGGTGGGGATGTCCCAGTTCTCCTAATTCCTGCGCCTCCTTCCATTCCAGATCCCTTTATTCCTCAGTCCCCGTCACCTTGACATTTAGAAGAGTGATCCTCATCCTTGCTGTCCAGGCTGTCACTGGAGCCCGTCTTCGGGGGCATCCCCATGCCCTGCTCCTTGTGCGGGGGCTGCTGTTTGTGATGGCCATAAATCTGGACACAGGGGGAATGGAAAACGTCTGTTTTGTTGGAGTCTGAAGGAATAGACGGAGGGAAGCACCCAGACCCACAGAGGAAACAAACAGCTTTTTAAATTCCTGGGCGTTGAGAGCCTCACGTAGGGTCACTTTGTGGTGGTCCCTGCCCTCAATGCTCCATCTACACACTCCCACTCTGGACACCTTTACCCCTGTACCCATCCTCACCCCACCTCTGTCCTCATCTTGATGGATGGCAAGGAGGCCAGCTTCTACTCTAAAGTGGAGACACAGGAACTCTGCTAAGACGGGGCATCCATGTCAATCAGGTGTTTTATGTGTGACCCAGCTTACTGTGTGTCAGCCTCTCCCTACTATCCCAGACCCCCCTTCTCTGCCTGGCCTCCCTCCTAGGAATCCTGACGTGGACCAGCAAGGACAGACTAGCAGGGGACTCTTGGTTTCTCTTTGCCTTGGTGTGTCTGGCCTCTCTTGAGGCCCCTCAGATACTCTCTCAAGTTCAGAGGAAGCCCACCCGCTCACCTCCCTGTGCTCATGTGCACAATCAGGAAGCAGTCCTGGTAAGGGACTTCCCATGGCAGGATTACTAGACGCTCACACTACGGGGAGAGGACAGAGCGGCGCCCCTCAGATCTGGGAGCCCTCTGCTCTCATCGCCATGGAGAACACGTGTGTTTGGGGCCGGGGGAGCAAGGGCTCTCACTGCTTTTGGTCTGTCCTCCCCCCCTTCACTAGCTCCGTCCTCTGGGGCCAGGGTCAGGCCAGGTCGTGTTGCCAGTTCTGGGAGAGCCTGGGTGGGAGAGATCTGATTTCACAATATGAGCAGCAGAGTTTACGCCCCAGTTCTGGACAGGAGCACACTCTTTGCCCAGCTCATGGCTGTTCGGTCTTCTGGGATGAGGTGGGTGACTGAGCGAGACAGTGTGTCCCTCCCTGCGCTACCTGTCCCCAGAGAGCAGACACTCCCCCTGTGGATCAGTGCATGTTCCTCCACCTGCTGTTTCAGCTGTCTGGGGCCCCAGGCTGGTGGAGGCAAGGAAGGGGGTGTGGAGGTGAGGAAGGGGGTGCTGCAGACCAAACCCTGGCTGGGAAACACCTGAGAGAGCCAAATCTGTGCCGGGTGTTTCAGGGCGAGGCACCGCATCAGAGCAGAGCTGGGGGAAGGGAGGGACAGCTCAAGTGTGAGGGGGGTGCTGGGATTCACGGGTGTGTAGGGGTGAGGCTGGGAATGGGAAGGAGAGGTGAAGCAGTGTAGACACAATATCGGTGATTGTTGAAAGCTGGGTAAGGGGCATTTGGGGGTTCATTACATGGGTCTATTTTTTAAGTTTGGAATTTTCCATAATAAAAATGAAACAAAGAAAAACTTAAGTCCAAACCTCTCTTCTTTACTTTCAGGCCAGCTCTACTTCTGAAATTAATTTACCATTCTTCTCCATCACGAAGCTTCCTGCTACTTTGTCGCCGCGCCTTGATGGCATTTCACTCACCCCACTGAGGCATGTGGTGACCGGTGAGAGGAGCAGGGCCCTGAGGAGGGGCCTTTCTGTCCAATCCCGTCTGGTGTTGCAAGGCCAGGCCAGGCCCCACCTTCGGGAAGCCCCTCTCCCCGCACTCATCATTCCCATCTCTCCTGACTTTGTGTCCCCACCCCCACTGATTCCCCAGGGGTGCCCTTAGTAACCATCTCCATCTCCGGATGATGCGGACTGCTGCGTGGATCCTCTCGTCCCCCAGTGCTGACATCACCTGCACAGCCACCCCTTGGTTCCCTGCCCTGTCTGCATCCCCTCATCACCCACCCCTCCCCGCCATCTTTAGCTAAAACACGTGCACACACATTTCCTCACGGATCACCTGCTTGTTTATCTGCGGCAACCTTGCAGGCTTTCCTTCATAGTTGTGCCGTCAGTCCCCTTTTCTGTGCTAGATGTCCACAGCCCACCCATCTGGATGCCCGCAGTGAGCTCACTAGGAACGCACACCTCTACCTCCCCGGGGCGGGGTGCCTACAACCTGATGGACTCCTACCTGATCGACCTTCCCACCCAAAAGTTAGGCTGCGGTTCTTCTGCTCATTTTGACCCTGGTGTACCTTTGATCACTGATCTGCAATCCAGTTCGTTTTCTCCACTTATCCCAGCACCTTTCTTCTGCCTTGTGCAGAAGCGTTTATTTGTGCGCGCACTGCAGAGGGTCAGCAGGGAGAGAGCTGGTGGTGTCTGCGTGGGGGTGAGGGAGTAAGAGGCAGCTTCACACAGAGGTGTGGGCTCCCACGCCAACCACTCCGGGCAGGTTATGTAAGCACGGGCTAGTCAAGCCTGTGTGGCTATGCCTTTCCCCCCTAGGATTCGGGTGTCCTGTTAGTCAGGGTTATATAAAAAAAGGGGATGGGATCTCTATAAACGCACGCTTAGCTGAGCTCAGCCCTTTGAAGGATTTTCGTATTTTGAACACATCACCATGTACTTTTTAAAGTTAACACAACACTTCTCCCGCTTTCACCTGATTCCTCATTCACCCACCCCCAGCCGTCACACAACTGTCCCCCGGATTCCACCACCCCCTCCCCCTTGGACTTTACCTGTGTGGGGCGGGTGTTGGGACGGGGGCCTGCGTCCCTCCGGAGCCTGTGCTGAAGGGCCCCATTTTCGGAGGGTAGTCCGTAGCTGGTGCAGTGCTCAAAAGGCATATACTGGTACTGGGGGGCACTACCCCACCAGCTTTGCTCCCCCCCACGCCGCTGGGACTCCGATCGCTCCATGTTCCTTCCCTGGGGCAGGCCTTGGCCTGCTCGCCCCGGGGCCTCCCCCAGTACAGCTCCTTAAGCCCGTCCTCTTGCCTGTCCCCAAGGCGTCTGGGGCAGCGTGCCCACCCCCAGCTATTTATAGCCATCTCTCCGTCACATGACCCCCCCCATTGCCACATCTGATCTGCTTGGGGTCGAAGCAGGTGTGAGAGGGGTGCGGGGGAGGGGTTGGGACAAGAACCTGAGGGACAGCCCGCAGGGAATTCCCTCAGCGGGGGCCAGCAGCCCTGTCCCCTCCATAGTCACAAGGAGGCTTCCAGCCCCAAGCCACTGGGCCCCCTATAAACATCGCCCAGACCAGCATGGAGAGGGGCTCTGCACACTCAGACTTGTGTGTTCCCGGGGGCACCGGATCTGCACCCTTAGGGTGTCCTGCCCTCACTTCCCCGAGGAAAGGTGAGGGGTGGGTGCTGGACGGAGGGATCCGGAGGATAACTCACCTGAGGGAGTAACTGGTGCCTCTCTGCCATCTTTCCCTGTCCAGTTGCTCCCAGCTCAGTATCTTCCCAAGATTGAGTCTTCATCTGTGGGGCCAACTCTCCCATCCCGGCCAGTTTTCAGGTTGCCCCTCCAGCTTTGCTATTTCTATCTGCCAGAGGCCGCTAATAATGCTTTGGCGTCATCCCCTTGACGCCACTCATTACCCACTGGGTGTGGGAAGCAGGGGTAACAGCCTTGGGTTCTGGCCTTTCTCCCACTTCCCAGATATGTCAGTCACACCAGAAGCCTGGACTCTCGGGGAGGAACGGAGCCTCCATGTAGACTATGGAGCACCTGCCTAGGTCTGTCAGGGCAGGTGAGATAACACGGGAGAAGGAGAAGTGGGTCAGGGGCATGGGGTGGGTGGGGGGGGAAGGGAGTGTCTCTCATCATGAGCCCAACAAACAAAAAGGATGACGGGGAAGTTCTCTGCTACTCCTCCTTTTCGGGTCAATAAATAAGTTTTGGCCAAGGCCCAACTACCCTATCTGGTGTCTTTTTTTTTTTTTTTTTTTTTTTTTTTTTTTTTTAAGCCAAGTTTCCTAGGACATTCCTTCCCCTGTGAACTCCTCACTATAGAAGAAAAGTTACAAACATGAGCCAACGCATAGTTTAGAATTTGTCACCAAGTGGGGTCTGCCCCAGGGTATTCCAAGTTCAGGGACTGCAGGGTACTGACACCAATCACTTGCTCTGCAATTAAACCTTGACCTCGGCTAAATGGCACTGTCCAAAGCAGGGGAGGTGGATGCCATTAAAAGCACGTTTTCTAACACCAACCCTATGAGCTCGAAGGCTTATAATCCACCGCCAATGATTACAAATGTGTGCTGGTGTGGGGGCCTGAAGGCTGACAGATGCCTTCTCTGCAGGCAGAACGTAAGGAAAGAGATCTAATGATTTGGTGTAAGATGAAAGAATACAGTGCCAAAGTCAAAATAGGTTCTTTGGGGGAGGGGGGAACTTTAGAAACAGAAAACGTCGTCACGCTTGAAAAGGGCTCTCCTGAATGTAGCCAGTTTCTATAGACACTCAATAATCCTGACAAGTATCTAACACAATTATTGTTTCTTCATGCTTCCTTAGAAAATCAGGACCTGGTTATAGATTCCAGGATTTGAAGGCAGAGAGATCAGTGGGACTGGGAAAATCCACACTCCACCAAGCCAAGTAGAAACACCAGCTTGTGAAGTAGAAAAACCAGATTCTGAAACTGGGAGAGTCAAGGCAACCTACTGCTGCTAACGCTAAGGGCAGGGATTTGTGAGTAACTTGAGTCTGACATTAGAAATTGTTAATATCTCATGGGTTGCCATCTTTAAGAGAACAAGAAAATAAAATGTCAGGGTGCCTGGATGGCTTGGTTGGGGGAGTGTGCACCTCTTGATTTGGGGTTGTAAGGTCAAGCCCCATGCTGACTGTAGAGAGTACTTAACTAAAGTCTTTAAAACGGAGAAAAGAACATGTAAACTATGACCACCCCCTACCCATAGGTACAATGCTTGGGTTCTTATTTGGAAGATGGGTTTCTGGGGAGTTCTGTGAAAAGCTCCACAATCTGGAAACAAATTTATAAGCATGCACGCATTCTAGAAGGTATGTACACTGTGTAAGGAATGAATTATTCTGGGGTTTTGAATATATTTTTTTAAGCTTATTTTTTTGTTTTTGAGAAAGAGACAGTGAGTGGAGGAGGGGCAGAGAGACGGACAGAGAGAATCCCACACAGGCTCTGCACCATCAGTGTAGAGCCTGATGCAGGGCTCAAACCCACGAACCGGGATATCATGACCCGAGCTGAAGTCGGATGCTTAACCAACTGAGCCACCCAGGTGCCCCTTGAAGAGATTTTCTTGGGGTCTACGATACTAAAAAGTAAAACCTACAGGCTTATGGAATTGCTATTTGAAGGGAGGTTGCCAAAAATGACCATATGGGACACATGTGCAGGGGAAAGTGTGTGTTAGAGTACAGGTGGGTGTGAACGAGCCACTGCCCACCCCCTCACCCAATAGCTTCCCATCAACTGAAGCATGAACTTTCTCTCTGGGTTACACCCTTGTTTTCAGACCTCTTCAAATCCAGCCCCCCAGCCCGCTGGACAATGCACCATTACATTGTCTTTAACAGCCTCCAGACATCACTTTCCCTCTGCACATCTAGTCTAGCATCAAACCCATGACCACATGCTTTTGTTTCACCTAGGCAACTGTTAACTCTGCGTCCCACCCCCCCAAACCGCACACACCTTCTAATTGTACTCCCTGGTAGTAGTAGCTTCTCTACTCCCCATTGGACCCCG